ACAAAATAACCCATTACTCCACCAAGGTGGCTTCTTACCTTTATCACAAACTGATCAAGCCAATTATTACCATGAACAAAGTGAAAGACTTTGAGACACCTTAGCACTACTGCACCCCCCATCCTGGGAACCAGGCCTCTAGCATTAGGAGGCACCTTAGCACTACTGCACCCCCCTTCCTGGGAACCAGGTCCCTAGTAACCAGCCACGCGTGCATGGGAGCTTTGAGTACTTTCCATCCCCATTGTAGTCTTTCTCCAATAGACCCGGACCCTGGAACTGGGGTGAGACGACCTGCAGGTGTTCCTCCTTGTAACCGCCATAACATTGATCAAGTAGAGTTAGCTGACCATTGTATGAACTAGTCAAAACAGTTGACAAATGATTTTTGGACTTTCCCTTTGATTCTGTACTACCCCCTCCCTGAATTTGTGGTTTTTTCCTTTAAAAGAGCTTGTAATAGACAAAGCAGGGTCCTTCTCCTCTCGAGGCTGAGGGACCTCTGCCGTGGCAGAATAAAAATTCCTCTTGCTATTGCATCAACCGTGCTGTGAGTGTCTCTTGGGGCGACCTCCTCCTTGGTGGGGCTTTAGGGCCCAACATTAGAACCAGTCAGCACCTCACCTACTAAAAGGACCTTTAAAAAAAAATAAAATAAAGGTTTACTTTCAATAACCTTTGCAAACAAAACTGCAGACCAAGCCAATCGCTCCTTTTTCTCAACTAGAGTGATACAGCGCTGGAAATTTAGAGCTCCCGCATAACTTTTAGAAAAACAGCTCCAAAGCAAACAGTACTTTGAAAACCTAAAGTTCAGGTACTTGGCTTTCCTTAGTTTAAAACAGTTGTATTTAGGGTATTTTTTTTAAAGCACTTTGTGTTTTTGTTTTGGGTGTTTTTGTTTGTTGGTTTTGGGTTTTGTTTTGTTTTGTTTTGTTTGTTTTGTTTTTTGTGTACTTTCCTGGAACTAGCTCTGTAGACTAGGCTGGACTCAGAACTAGCCGGCCTCTGCCTCCCTGCTAGGATTAAAGGTGTGCACTGTCACCACCACCTAGCAAGTACTTCATGTTTCAGCCCTGTCTTTTGTCACTGGTTAAACTTTCTACTTAAAAAAAAAAAAAAAAAAAAAAAGGAATGCCCAAGCCTCTAGCTTCTGAAAATAACATCTGGTATGGGCATATAACACAAGGCTTGAGAGACTGGCCCAGTTTTGATTTAAACTTTAGTAATTTAAAACCAGAATGCCCTTAGCCACAATTAGGCATAAATCAGGTTTTACCTTATTAGGAGATTTGCTATTTTCAACATTTATCTTCAACCACTAAATGGATTTATCTTCTAACACCAGAGAATTTCCTGACTTTCCAACTAGGTTAAACTAACCACCAGACCCCACGTGCTTGAAACTTCAGTCTCTACAAATAGATCCCTATTGCCAGCTTCATGAATTTATCTAATTTTGTAACACCAAGTTTGGTAAGAACAGGTGTCCCTAACCATTTTACTTACGGGATCTCAAAGTAGGCTCTTGAACCTTAAAGATCTCAGGGGTCCCTTTTCAAGGGATCCAGAAGGTCAAAGGTATTTTCATGGATATTAAGATAGACAGATAGGTAGATAGGTAGATGGATAGATGACAGAAAAAAAGGAAGAGATGTTGCTATATTACTTCGAATGTTTCCTTTCGATCTCTCAAGAGCACAAAGTGAAGTTTTCTCTATAATACATGAGGTGTGATAGCTCAAGAGACTCCATACAGAAGCAGATGTGAGAGCTCAGCTGTCTTCCAGTAAGATAAAGTTGCAAAAACATAAATGCTTAAGAAACTACTCTTCCCATTCAATTTTTGTTCTGAGAAAGTTTTGCATAAACTTTCATTTCTGTTAAGTATTAGGTCTGTTACTGTTACTTGTAATTAAGTCAGTAAATATTTACAGTTCTAAGTCAATTTCTAATATGGTGATATTAATAGATAAAAGCCTCAAAATAATCTGGGTTCTGAAAAATGTTGAGACTATAAAAGGATCTTGCAAACAAAAGTTGTTTGAAGTATTGGAGCATACAGTTACATACCACAGTGCCTTCTGTGGCTAAGAAGCTCAGGTTAGTTCTTTAGTATCACTACTCCTTAACCTCTAATCTTGCTGCGTTCTTATCTCCTTGTAACACAATTCATCATAAAGCCAATCTGTATTGTTCCATTTAGTGGCTTTAGACGTTTAATTTTCAGAGTCCTATTTATAAAAATGCTCGCGTCTGTGATGTCATAAGTTACATAGCATCAGTCCCTCAAGCTTCTCTGTCTGTCTGTCTCTGTCTCTGTCTCTCTCTCTCTCACACACACACAAAATCTTGCTCATCCTAACAAAGACTTGAGAAGTAATGGCAAAGCACTGCCCTTTTTCCAGATGACATAATGAAACTGACACTCAAGGAAACAGAAGTGCTGGTCCAAGGAGATACTGCCCACTAGAGTCCAGGCTGTTGATCTTTTGCAATCAGCTTGGCTGCATCACTGAGGTATAACTACAAGCTCCCAATAAAAATAAGGCACGGGCATTACTTTTATTGTCCAGGTGCCAAAACAGGAATTTTCTCCCTCCTCAGTAAGAGTCTAATCAGACTCGACACCAGTCAGAGCTACCTTTCTAATCGCCTACCGAAAGCAAATAAATTCTGGAGTGTTGACGAAAAAAACTCAGGACACATAACACTCCAAGAAAGTGAGTTAGTTAAGGGAATCGCAGATTTACCACTCATTTAATTACTGAAACTACGGGCAAGCAAGAACAAGATCAAGCTTACTCCTTTAACACTTGGCTGTACCAATGAAGGGGTGCCAAAAGGTTAAAATGGGAGGCCCACATGAAATGGGGTTGGACAGAAGAAAACACCCACAGAGTTGTGAAACTAGCTTTATTGGTCCTACAAATGCAAGTGATTAGACCCACCCTTCCAAAGCAGGGTCAGAGGCAACCATCTGCCGCACGCTGTAGCTGTAAAGATGCCACCCTCTGCTCCGGACAGAGATCACCCTTCCATTACTAATTCTTTCCTGTTGTCAGCACGAACCTCCCAGTTGTGCTTCATTTCAGTGCGCTGAATTCCTCGGGAGAGGCCTGCTTTGCTGCATCTCTTTTCCCCAGTCAAATGGACTCCCTGACTGACAGAGGCAAGACTGACTCACGACAGGATATCTGCCACTTGCATAATTCTTGTCTTTTTTTAGACGCATGTGCACAATGGAGCCATTTCTAAGTTTGATGTGATCTTACATAGGAGGAAAAAGAGAGAATCAGGTTGTTCTGACACAGCCACCTCTGAATCCCTGTAGCTGACCACAGATGAACAAACAAGAGGAAGTGCCCCATTCCTTGTGAGGTGTATGCTTTTCTTAGTGGTTGTGTGCATATGTGTGTGTGTGCGTGCGTGTGTGTGTGTGTGTGTGTGTGAAATCTATTGAGTAAAACTCAGCTATAACTAATTAGCTAACACACCACCAGTCCACGTGTGATACACTTTTGTTATGTTCCAAGCTCAAGACTCACTGTTAAAAATGCATTTACAGATAAGAATCCATTTACACAAGTTCCTACATTCCCACAAAGAACTGCAATACTGGCCCACATGGTAGCACATGCTATAATCCCAGCACTCCAAGGGTTGAGGCAGAAAAATTACGAATTCTAGGTCGCCCCAGGCCATAATAGAGACCCAGCCTTGCAAACCAAAGGAACCGCTACTACTGCCCGGTGAAACCAATCAACTGGTTAATTTTTAAAGTCTTCATGCAGGAAAAAGACACCTGACTTTTACAAAGGTAAGCAAGTCACCAAGTCTTGGAGCCCCGGAAAACTACAGTTACTTCTATTCCTAATGCTAGAAGACAGCTTTCTTTGTGCCACCCCGTATGTTTTGCTTCAAAAACAATCACAATCGAAGAAGTAACCTGTCAAAAGTATTAAAGCAGTCTCTCTAACTCCCGAGCTCCAGGCCAACCCAGAAGAAACCACTCACTCGGCTGAACCGTACCACCGTCTTCGAGCATTGAAAACAAACTTGATTCCTGATGTTCACTATCCACATTTTAAACTACAGCTCACGCTGCCAGGACAATCTTAAAGCTCATAAACAAAGACCAGCGACGGCACCAGGGCCCTACCAGGAAGTAATCAAAGCGAGGTGGCCGGTCCGACCTTAAGTCCCGGCAGACAATGAGAGGGGACCGGGGCTTCCGAGGAGCCAGAAGGAGTTAACACTTAAGCAACCCCAAATCGTAGCATAAACCTGAGTGTTTTACAGCACACACAACCGTGTGCTCGTTCCCAACACACTCCTGACCAACACGAAAGTCCGTCTCGGAACAATCTTCGAAAGGCAAAAAACTCGAGCTGCCCCTTCCCCAGCAGCTAGTGGCTGCCTTCTCCCCCGAGCTTTCGGAGCCCTCAGCCTATTCTCAAACTTCACCCTCCCAAGCTGAGGCAAGATTCAGAGATCAGCCGCCCCCAGCGCGGTCGACTCAGGGAGTGCGGGGGGGGGGGGTTGTTAGACAGGAGCCTGTGGGAACGGGGGGGAGGGCGGGGGAGACGCAGCCCGAAGGGGCCCGCGCGCCCGGCAGTCCAGACAAAGCTGCGCCCACAGAGCGGCGCTTTTCCTGTCCGGCCCACGGGGGACCGCGAACCCGGACCCGCCACACGCGGGACCAGCCCTTATGTTCGCGGAGGCTCGGGGTGCGGGCCGCCGCGTCATCCCTACCGCTGCGCGCTCGCCTCGGGCCCCCGCGGGCCTTTCCTCTGCCGGCCCGGCCGTCGGGCCGCGCGAAACAAAGGAGCCGCCGCCGCGCCCGCCGCGCCGCGTCCCCTCAACCCCGCGCGCCCGGCCCGCTCCCCGCAGCCTCCCCCGAGGCCGCGCGCCACCCGCCCGCGGCCCTTCGACGGCAAGGCCCGGACCAGAGCCGGGGCCTCGGGTGCGCGGCCGGCCAGCCCCGGGGCCGCACTCACCGCTGCAGCACCAGGACGACGGGGAGCCGTTGGGGAACTTGGCTGAGTCCGGGGCGATGCAGACGCTGGAGCTGAGGTGCGGACACTCCATGGCCACGAGGACGGCGGCGGGGACGGCCGAAGCTGTGGGGCGGAGGGACTTCGGAGGCTCCGTCTGGGGTCGCTCCTAGCCCGGCGCTGGGCAGACGGTGGCTGCTTCGTCCCGAGCCTTTGCGTCAAAGAAAGCAAGGGCTTCCGGGCGCCGGGTTTTGCCACCCGCCGTATCCCGGCGCCCCGCTCCGGAGAATGAAAATCCGGACTCCTGGTTCTGCCGCCGCCCGGCTACAGCAAGCTTCCGCCTTCTCCGAGTGGCCCCGCCCACCAGACTGGTCACGCCCCCGAGGCCGGGCCCGCCCCGCCTCCGTGTTAGCCGGTGGGCGGGGCCTTGGCGCTCACCGTTCGCGGGAGGAGTGTCCCACCGGGCTGTAAAGTGACTTTCCCAACTGCACCGAGCTGCTGGCGGCAGCTTCCTGGGACCCCAGCAAGTGTGGGTTCTCCGCCTGGGAAGACCAGTCGGGACCGCTGCGTCTACTGCAGTGAATCTGGGAGGCTTAGAAAGAGAAGATGTAGCCACTGCAAAGTGCAGAAAATGAACAACCCTCCAACCGACAAGCATTGAAGCCCCATTTTACACAGGAAGAAATAGACGAGGGTGCTTGTGGAGTGGCCCTCGGTGGCCCAGCCGACTGCAGGGAGTCCAGAACAGTTCTGACTATTCGTGTAACAGGTTGCGGTTTGGAACCATTCTGGGTTCTTAACTGTAGTCTGAGCGCGTCACCTGGCTGCTGCCTGGCTGGGCCCGCGAGGCTGCCGGTGTACCTGGGTGTAGCACTGCTATTATGACTCACTGTTATCTCGTGTCCATTGTGAGACTTCTCATACCTGTCCTTCTCGAAGTTGAGAGAAGTAACAATCTGGTTTGCTGTACAAGGTCCGGGTTACCAGGTGATTAAAAAAAAAAAAAAAGGCAGTGTAATATTCGTTAGACTCCCACCACTGTCTCCCAGACAGTCACTTTGCATACCATACCTTGTTTAAGCTTCAAAACACCCTCCCACGCTGCTGCTACGGCCCCCCTTTTTTACTGCCAGTGAAATGGAGAGTAAGACCTACTCTGGGAGGATTGGACCCCAGCTCCAGATCTTTCTTTAGAAAGATAGAGAGGACAAGCTTCTTTAGGGAGAAAGCCTGTGACTTTCACTGCCTGGGTTTTGAATCCCGGATGTCTGGGGATCTCAGAAACCTAGCCTCTAAAGTTGGAGGGTTGGTTTTTTGTTTTGTTTTACCTGGTGAAGGAGCCGCGTGACAGAAGGCAAGCAAGGGAGAGGGAAGACCGATGTAGCAATTCTTCAAGCAGGAAAAACAAAGGTCAGGAAATGATTAACCGGCTGGGCCAGATAGTGGTTAGTTAGCTCAGGGCATCTCGCCTAAGAACATGCCTCTAGGACCCCCAAAGCCACTTCGTACTCGCTAAGCCACACTGCTGCTATCTGCCTGATGGTGTCCATTCCTCTAGGGCATTCTGCCCTCGGAGGTATTTCAAATTCCTCAGTCAACGCTCCTTTGCCATTTTCCCAAGCTGAATAAATATTACTGTTAAAAACAAGGCTCGGACCGGCTTTGACAATAAGGAATTATGGAAAGTGAGGTGCCTACTGTGTGTTCAGAGGTTAGCTCCGCTGGCTACTTGATAGTGAACCTGAGCTAGTCCTCTCAAGTCTTTTTCCTCTCCTATCCTCTGGAAAAAACAGTACTTAACTGTTGTGAACTCCTCCCCTGTAGTAATCAGCAGAAAAGGTTTGCTTTTCTTTTTTTAAACTTCAGGTGGAGGCTGCTTCCTTGGGAAGAGAGAGGAGAATAAACAAAATCTGACCCCTATTCAATCTCCTCCACCTGTTTATCTGAAAAGTCTGGCTCTAGCAATGCTCTCTGTGTCCTTCTGGGCACTCGCCCTCATACAGCATCCACAGCCCCTCATTTAGTATGGAGCATGCGCCTTTCCCAGGCTGCTTTTCATACCAGCGTGCCCTGCCATGTTCTTTTCAACCTGGGAGAAATGGTTTGCTAATCCCCTAGACCTCACTTTTAACATCACTTCCTACCTCCTACCAGAGGACTTTCCTGACCCTGCCCCAGCCGCAGGTTACCTCCCAGGGTGTCATGCCCTTGACTGCCCCTACAGTGCCTTTTAAAAACACACTCCTTGTACGTAATTATTTGTTTAATGTCTGTCTTCCCCTCGGAGGTCCATAAGAGCAGCAAACAAGTCTGTCTGGTTTCCTGCTTTCTTTCTAACAAAATATGTAGAGCCTGGAGCGTATCCAATACATAAGTTTCCGTGGATGAATGGAAGGGATGGGCCTGCAAGATCCGTGGGCCCAATCAATGTAGAGGCGATATTACGAATCTAGAAAATGATAACTAAATTAGCATTCAGTTCTGTTTAGAATTTTCAAAGGAATGTGAAAAGTAGCTTATAAGATGTAAACTGCTTAAGAAACAATGTTAGAATTTTTATTACTGTTTCTCTCAATCAGAATTTTTTTTTAAAAAAAAAAGATCACTCTTAGAGCTGAAGTCCTAATTTAGTCACCCCTAATAACAGTTGTCCCTCAGAGGACAGATTCTAACAGGTAATTCAAAGAAACTGGGGAGAGGAGCTTTCACCAATATCCTAAAACCGGATTTTCCTGTGCAAGTTAACACAGAAAGCTGAAATAAAACCACAGTGAGTAAATGTGTTAAATTAGGGGAGACCACGGGGCACACTGAGAAATCTGCCTTTTCAAGCCACTGGGGTCGGCAGCTGCTTTTAATACAACGTTCGCTTCTTCTTCTTGGCTGGCATCCCTTTGGCACCGAAGAACACCAAAGGCTTACATGCCAACACCCCCGAAGGTGATGTGCCCAGTCTCCAGCTCCCCTCACAACCCCCCACCCCGGCTCTGCTGTGCTTGGCAGCTGCCAGGATGTACTACCCAGCTGCCTGAAAAGGTGCACGCGAAGCAGGGTTTCAGTTTAAAACCCACCAGAAGGGCAGACCTGTTTTTAAAGTGTGCATGTTGTACTGCAGAACTCTGCACAATTTCAATAGGCTGTCTTTATAAAGACTGTGTATATGCATTGGGAAGAGAGGAAATGGAGGGGGATCCAGCTTCATGGGAACTATGGTCAGGAAGCGGTCTGAGACCTCCCTAAAAACATTAGATTTGTGACATCTTGAATGTGTGGCCCTCACTTACCAAGTATCAAGATTGATTGGGTCCTGGGTAAAACTAGGTTTAACTATCCCTGCTCAGGCAAGGCTCCCTGGAAATACACAACATACTGGTTTAATTATTTACCCTAGTAATCTTTTAGAAGCAAAGCCTCCTTGGAAAAGCAAAGTCAGACCACTGGAGACTAGGAAGTAGTGTCAAGCTGGGAGAGGGCAGCGTGTGAGAACTCTTCCAGCACAGAGCCTCATTTTCCTTAGCCGTTATTGGACGTCCTTGCTTGTCTATCTGTAACCCCCTTCTGAAAGCACAGACCTTGCCAGTCCCTGTGCATTGCCTGATTCTTAATTCTTGGAATACAGCCGACCCTCGGGACACAGCAGGCCTTCCCTACCTGTTCAATGACTGACTATAGGAAGAGTAATGAGAACAGCCTGTATCAGGTAGAGTCTGCGTGTTCAGACCACTTCCCCAAACATGGTGGGCTGGGCTGGCTCTGGTGAGCCTACCCTCACTTGACCTGTAGGGGATACTGGTGGGGTCACTGTCTCCACTTCTTTCCATTCATCCTCTCTGCCCAGAATTCTTCCCTGGCTTCCACATCTTCAGGAGCCAAGTCCTAACTCTTGCTGACAGCATCACCTGTCCTCTCTCCGGTCCTTAAGATCTTTTTATTTTTTTTTAATTATTGTTCTAGCAGTTCCAAAAATAGCCCCTCATTATACAAAATGTGTTTCCTCACTCCTGTGTCCTCCCCCACCTCATCCTCTTCCACCTGCCACCTCCCCCTCCTTCCCTGTGGGGCCCAGAGCCTTCTCAGGACAGCCTTCCATCACTTACCCAAGCCACCTTCCAGCTCTTCTCCCACTCCCACCGCCGCCATTCTGTCCCTGCAGCTTGTCACGTGGCACTGTTATTTTCTGTTCACAGTTCAGTCTCCCGAGGGAGCAAGTGTGTTTATTTTCGTCTGTGGAGTCTCCGCACCGAGTTAGCAATAGCAGATATTAAAGCTGACTGTATCTGCTGATGGGATGCTGATAGAGTTGTCCCCTTGGAGAGTGATCACATCAACAATTACGCGGAATGTGTAGCTAGTCAGAGAAAGGGCCTGGACCGCTCAGAACAGAAACCTACGTTTACTGAATCCCCACGTAAGCGCCAAAGACTACGCGAAGAGTTCTCATTTCGTCTTAAATGTCTGAAGTACACATTACTATCTCCACTGTTGTCAAGAAAAAGACAACTTAAGGGTTAGATAATTGCACAAATTTACACCATAAATGTGCAATTATCGAAGAAGACCGCTGCCTCAGCCCTCTCGCAAATGATGGCTTAAATGATTTTTGCTGTACTGTTTGAGGAACCTGACGTTCCCTCTGAGGAGAAGCCACCAAGGGAGGTTTGTGAGTAGCTGGAGGATCATTCATCCTCAGAGCCAGCGTCAGCACCTCAGCACCGTCTTCTGTCCACCTCACAGTTTCTAAGGCCAGTCATTTGTTTAGACAGAATCTCACCACAGAACCCAGGCTGACCTTGAACTCTGGCTCCTCGGGCCTCAGAGACGCCCCAACCCCAAGCTGGGATAATCTCTTTTTCTTTATCTCTGAGAGCTCCTTTTATGAAGCAGATGAGACTTTTTTTCTTCCCAAAGACCCACTTTGCAGATAAAAGTGCTGACTGAGAAAGCAGAGCAGGGGACTCCAGCACCCAACAGTCTTTTCATTTGTAAAATCAGTGTCTTGCGCTTAGGGCTCGCCCAAGGCCCCCCCCCCCCCCCCCCCCCCCCCCCCCCCCCCCCCCCCCCCCCCCCCCCCCCCCCCCCCCCCCCCCCCCCCCCCCCCCCCGTGGTGGCACTCGGCCACCAGGGCACTCACTTTTCCGGCAGGCTCACCCTAGTCCACTCAGTAAGTGCTAAGTTTTCACTCCAGACCTGCCCCCTCCCTCCCCGTTCACATCTACTTCAGTTTTCTCCCATGCCGAAGTATGATCAGCTTTTAATCTATGGAATTTAAGCAGAAATCACAGCGAGATGCTGTGGACAGCTGTACCTGGCACTGTGGACAGCTGCTCACGACACAAATACTTCATTGTCCAGTGAAGCCTATCAGGTGGGGGTGAGACACGAGGATACCTTGGGTTAGGCCCTGAAGGGACCCTGGGTTGAGACACAGAAGGCAGGGCTGTGTGGGCTACTGCCATCACTCTGCCAATGCAAAGACGACAGCGCGCTGTGATGCTGCTCCCCTCCCCTCCCCCAGCCCAAGCACTAATTGCCTAATTGACTGTGTATGAGAGCCCCTGAGTTTCAAAGTGCCATCTAGGCTGGGAACTTGGAGCTTCTGACTGTGAACCGGCACCTGTGTGGTGGGTAGTGTAGGTGTGGAAGTCTGTTTCTTGCAGCCCTTGTC